TGAAAGCTTGAATAATGCTAGGGCTGTGTGCGTGCACACCCAAGTGAGTGTGTGTGTACACGCGTGTGCATGTGCATGTGCAGGTGCACACGGTCATGTGGAGCCCAGAGACTCAGCCCTTGGCCTAGCGCAGCTGCAGTCGTTGGACTCCAAGTGTGGTGGACATGGTGGCTAGGGCGGTGGCCACGGCCCAGGAATGGCAGGCGGGAGGCTGGGGCCCAGCAGACTCGGGGGACCTTGGGCAGGTCACACCCCTACCTGAGCCTCAGTCTCCACATCTGGCCAGATGGGATGAAAATCATCCCTGGTCTCTGGTTGGGTGAGGATCCAAGAAATTCAGGGACCTACAGGAGCTTTATAACATTTCTCTACATTAATTTAGATGTTTAAAAATATCTTAAAATAATTTTGTATGGTTTTCTTGTATATTTTTTAGATTCAGTCTTAGGTACCTCTTCACTTCTATTATAAATGGTGCTTTCAAATAATTACTTTTCCTGACTGCTTTCTATTATTATGTAGAAACCTAACTGATTTTTAAACATTTAGTTTGCATCTGGAGAACTTGGTACTTTTAAAATTAATTGAGTCAATTATCTGTAAGATTTTGTGGTGTTTTTTGGTAGGTTTTCTATTTGGACTAATGGTTCTCAATGAGGCATACTGCCCCTTAGGAGGAGATTTGGAAATTTGTAAGGGAGCTTTTTTGTTGGTAAGCTCAAGAATTTACACATCAAAATTTGTATTTTAAAGTATTTTCATTTACTAATCTTTTATATTAAAATTAAATGATGGCCTCAAGTTTTTGAAAGTATATGTGTGGACATATTATATTATTTAAGAATTTCATTTCAGGTCAGGGAGTATGGCATTAATTTGTTATAGAAGGGGAAATTGGATCTGATAGTATTGCAAACCACTGAGGTTTTGATAATGTTCTTTCTTTTTCCAGGTCACTATGTTTTTGAATCTTTATCTTGCTTTGCTGTGCTCTCACTTCTTGGACAGTGTCGAAGAGAAGTGGTGATAATGGGCACATCTAGTCTTGTTCCAGATCTTTAAGGAAATGCTTTCAAATGCTTTACCTCTTTACTAAGATTTTCTTTAAAATCACGAATGAATGTTGAATCTTATCAAAATTTTTTTCTCCCAAATCTGAGATATTAATATTTCTCTTGATGTGATGTGCCACACTGACAGATCTTCCTTTTTTATGCACACAGTCTGTTTGCTTTTCTAATGCTAAACCCATCTCAAATTTCTGGCATAAACCCATCTAGTTTATAAATGTGGCTGATACATTTTGCCACATTCCATCTGCTAGCATTTCGTGTAGGGTTTTCATCTGTGTTTGTGGGTGAGAAAGGCCCATCGTTTTCCCTTGCTCATGTGGTGCTTGTCATTTAGGTTGACCCGATAAAAGGAGTTGGGAGAATAGCCTCCTGGCTACTCCCGGGGGCCAGATTCACTCCGACCCAAAGATTCACTGCCCGCCTGGGCGAGGAAACCTTGTGCGGCGCGCGCCCCCTCGCGACCACGGGGCGCAAGAGCCCGATAAACCAGGCTGGGTGAGCGGGACCAGGGCCCAGTGAGGGAGGCCAGGTTGACACAACGTGGTGCCACGGCTGAGGGGAGCAGCGGGCCTTTGCTGGGCCTGATAAACTGAGCAACCCGGTTTCAGGATGGGGTGACCAGGACCCAGAGTGACACAGCCGGCTCATAACTGCAGCGCTCTGGCCCTTCTAAACTGTGAAGTTCCTGATTCTAATCTTTACCTGCAAAATGGGGATAATCCACCTGCCTGTCAGAAAAATGGGAGAAACTTGTCAAAACACAGAATTCAGACTTTCCTAAGAGGTCAGGGGTGTCCTTCTCTGGCCTCAGCATTCTTGTCTATTACAAGCACTTGATAAATGGCAGCTGGGGGAAAGGGAATTCCAGATTAATAATACATGATTGTCTAGAATGAGAGTCCATATCAGGTAAGTCTGTGTGAATGATGAACATTTGTTCATTTATTAATTTTTTTCATTATTTCATTGTTGTTCATTATTCAACAAATATTTATTGGACAGTGTGGTAGGCAGAGGAACGGCCCCCCAGAGATGCCCATGCCCTAATCCCTGGAACCGATGACTGTGTTAGGTTACATGGGCAAGGGGAACTGAGGCTGTAGATGGAATGAGGGCTGCTGATCAGCTGACCTTAAAATAGGAAGATATTCCTGGATTATCCAGGTGGGCTCAATGTGATCATAAGGGTCCTTAAAAATGGAAGGAGGAGGTAGAAGAGTCAGAGAAAAATGTAATACTGCTGGATTTTAAGGTGGAGAAAGTGTCTCTAGAAGCCAGAAAAGGCCAGAAAATGGGTCCTCCCCTGGAGCTCCAGTGAGAAATAAAGGCCTGCAGATACTTTGCTTTTAGCCCCTTAAGGTTTGTGGGCTGTACAGGGGTTTAAGCCACCAAGTTAGTGGTAATTTGTCACAGCAGCAGAAGGAGACTAATCGTCACCGTGTTCCAGGGCAGCAGCAGATGCTGGGGGTTCTGGGGGCTTCTCAGGGCTATAACCAGGCAGAGCATGAGGAGCAGCCATGTGGCTAAGCTCTGTGTCCTGGGACTAGGGCTTGGGAAAGGGTTCCCCAAGGAAAGGCTACTTAACCTCGTAGAAGCTTATGCTAAATGAAGAAGCGAGAGTGGTGAAGTGTTTTAAGCAAGGGAACAGCATGTTGGAAGGCCCAGGAGCAAGAAAGAGTACACAGAACTCCAAACGGTTCTGTGAGCTGCAGAAGAGTGGGGAGAGGTCACGCCAAAGTCAAAGGAATGCAGGTTGAATGGTCAACCCAGTAAAGAGTCTCCTTTTCATCTGAAGGACAATGGGTAGATTTTGAGAAGGACCCGAAATGACCAGATATGTCTTCTGGCCACCGCAGGGGGAGAGTAGATACCTAAGGGAGCTGTGGCCAAGGCCCATGTGAGAGCTGGTGGTAGCTTAGACCAGAAATGTATCCATGGAGATGGAGACACAGAGATGAGGACTGATCAGAGGGCTATTTTGGAGGTAAGATCAACAGAACTTGGTGACTGATCAGATGGGATGTAAAGGAGATGGAGAGTTTGAGATGCCCGCATTCCTGCCTTGGACAAATCAGAAGATGATGATGAGATAGGAACATTCATGGAGGGGCAGGCTTAAGGTGGGCTTCCATCCAGGACTTGCAGTACGTTCAAGCTGAGACGACCACCAAGGGAGTTGGGTATGTGCCGGGAGTTGGGTGAACTTCTGTTGGTGGGGATTCAGGATAGATTCTGAGTTCTTGCAGAGAGAGAAGGAAGGCGCTGGCTGCTGATGGTCAGGCCAGACCACAGTTCAGTGGAAGTAGATGTTTTTATTTGCAGTGATAGAATCCAACCCTAAATGATGTAAACCCAAAGGAATTTATTGTTTCTTTAAATGAAGTCCAGGCATCCCTAGCTTCAAGCATGGCTGATCTGAAGGCCTGATGAGATAATATGATTTCTCTCTTCCTTCCTTTTCTCTCTGCTTCTCCAATGTGTGGGCTTTTCACTCTCCTACAGGAGACGGGCTTTCCCCACCATCCCGGGGAAGGTGGCAGCTGCACCACCCAGTTTACATTATCCTAGTACAGCTAACAGAAGAGTAAATTTCTTGCTTCCAGTGTCCACGTGAAAGCCCACTGAAAGGACTCAGAGTCACTTTTTGGGTGATATGCTCACCCCATTAGCCTGTTCCAACCATAGTTCCTGGGGGATGGTGTGATGTGAATGACAGTTCCCCCACAACCACATGGAACTGGGAGGGGATGGTCCCCAGAACAAGTCAGCTTAGCAGAAAAAAGCAGCAGATACTGCTGGTTGCCTAAGATGTTAGAGGATGTCTACTGGGGGCTTCTGGAAGGGCTTCCTTCTTCCCAAATGGACACAACCACTTTGTGTCCAAGAAGGATGCTCTCCTGATGATGGCAAAGCAGAAATGTGGGAGAGCCTGGGTCCCTGGTGGCATCATCAAGCCATTGAATTCACCAGCCCTGGAACAACCCTCCTCCAGACTTCTTGTTATATGTAATAAATAACCTTCCATTTTGAGCCATTTTGAGTTGGGTTCTAGTTATTTGCAGCAGTGATGTCTGTGTTAGGAAGAACACGGACCCTTCAGGGATGTTCCAGAATCTGTGCATATGTTAGGCTGCTTGGCAAAGGAGAACTAAGGTTGCAGATGGATTGGACATCAGCCTCAGAAATTTTTTTCTGGATCTGTCTCCCCAGGAAAGGGAAACAAAAGCCAAAATAAACAAGCAGGACTGCATCAAACTAAAAAGGAAACCATCAACAAAATGAAAACACAACCTAGGGAATAGGAGAAGATATTTGCAAATGACATATCTGATAAGGGATTAATATCCAATGTATATAAAGAACTCATACAATGCCACACCAGAAAAACAAATAATCTCATTAAAAAATGGGCAGAGAACCTGAACAGACATTTTCCAAAGAAGACATACAGATGGGCCACCAGACACATGAAAAGGTGCTCCACATTACTACTCATCAGGGAAATGCAAATCAAAACCACAATGAGATATCACCCCACACCTGTCAGAATGGCTAATATCAACAAAACAAGAAATAAGAAGTGTGGGCAAGGATGTGGAGAAAAAGGAACCCTCATACACTATTGATGGGAATGTAAATTGGTGCAGCCCCACTATGGAAAATAGTATGGACTGTCCTCAAAAATTAAAAACAGAAACACCATACTGTTGGGGGTTGAGTTTGTTCTCCTTGGTTCTTGTTCCCACTGTAACAAGAAAATGAAGGGCAGAGACACAGTAGTGAAGCAGAATGGTAGTTTTATTTGAATGCACTCCAAGAGAGCCGTGGGCCAGAGTCAAGGTAGACAAAGGCAGGTTTACTTGAATACAGCAGAAAGGAAGGAAAAACAAAGGGAGGAAAGAGAAGTTCATTGAACTCCTGCTCGGCATTGGGCAAGTCCCTTGCCAACTCCTAAAGTCAGGGTCACCTGGTGTCCAGTGTCTGCTTGAATCTGCATGACATGAGACTATATCCCTACCACCCCAGGATCTGGGGAGCTGCAGAGCAGTGGATGGAGAGATTATGTTTGGAGAACTTCCCAAAGGCAAAGAAAGAAGAGTTTTGGGCAGGCTACTAAGAAGCATGATCATATAGCTCAGTCTTGTCCAGGTCTGATTTTGCAAGCTCAGATCAGAGCTCTCAGCAGCCTCTCCCTACTTGTCTGAAGTAGAATGAGAGAGTGACACACTTGAAGATAGGTAAGTGCCAGCAACCTTAGAGAGGAGGTGCACTTAAGGGTTTAGGGTCTTGAGTTTTATAGGGCTTTTTGGGTAAGAGTCAGTACAAGGCATGATGTATACAGGTGATTCATAATTCATAATTCCGTTGAAGTTTTGTCTTAAGAATAGGGTTATTTAGGGGACTATGTTGGTTCAGACTTGAGCATTCTTTATCCACATAGGTTTATTTATACTTGGGAGGTTTGTCTCCTGCCCTCGTTACATTATAAATGGAAGTTATAAAATCAGTAAGTCACAGGGATAAAAAGTACAGCATAGGGAATATAGTCAATAACAGTGTACTAACTTTGTGTGGTGACAGATGGTCACCACTTATTGTGGTGAGCATTTTATAATGTATAAAAATATCAGATTACTATGTTGTATACCTGAAACTAATATATTGTATGTCAACTATACTTCAATTGAGAAAAAAGTGCAGGTGGTATTAGAGTGGCTTTAAGAGAGGAAGATTATCCTGGATTATCCAGGTAGGCCCAGTGGAAATCCCAAGTGTCCTTATAAATGAAAGAGGGAGGCAAGAGGATATAGGGCCAAGGGAAGCAGAGGTCAGAATGGTTCCATTGCTGGTTTCAAGATGGAAGGAGGCCATAAGCCGAGGAACATGGGCAGCCTCTGGAAGCTGGACCTGAACAGGCATTAGCTGTGGTCAGGGTGACTGTGGAGGGGACCTTGATGGCGTGTTGTCTGGCAATGACCACGTGGCCCTGGATTTGTCACTGTCTTCACTGGGCCTCAGTTTCCAGTTCGCACACAGGGGATTTTGACCTCACAGAGGGATTGGGGCTGGGGGGTGGGGAGAGACTAGGTGGGAGGAAGCCTGCCAGACACCCCCAGCTCTGACTCTAGGGGGTTGCTTTCTAGTCCCAAGTGTAGACTAACTCCTGGGGGAGGGGATCCATCTGATGACCATCAGCCCAGCTCCAGCTCCACTCACTTGCGGAGGAAATGACGGAAATGGCAACTTGTATGTGCACTGCACCCAACCCTGTGATCCACGGTCCTCACACCTCCCTTGCTCCATTGCCCACAATGACTCAAGAGCAGGGGCTAGGTGCCCTGGAAGGCTTGTAGAGGGGGCGATGGAACTGGGTTTGGAAGGATAACAGACATCGCTCACCCAGTGGCCTTCATTCCTAGCTGCACATTCAAATTACCTGAGGAACTTAAAAAATACCTAGATGTCTGGGGCACCCAAGCCCCCAGTCACAACTTTTGCAGATGGGACCAGGACACGGGTATTTTCCACCCCACCCCCCACCCAGGGGATTCCAGTGTGCAGCTGATGTTCGGTAGAACAGAAGGGGTCCGCATCAGGGAAGGCACATTCTCAGCTTATCCCCCCAGAGCAGCCCACCCGGCCTCAGGAGACCCTGTGCCGCTGGCTGCAGCTCAGGCCTGGGTCATGCAGTGCCTTCCACATGAGCAGCATCTCGTAGGGCATGAAGCGGTGCACGAGCAGCAGCTCGCGGTACAAGCAGGGGTCAAAGGAGCGCTGCCGGGCGCCAGGCAGTTGCACGCCGAAGGGTCGGATGCCCTCATGGCTGCTGGGCGCCAGACCCGCGTGCTCCAGACACATGCCCATGTAAGCGTCGTCAATGGGGAACAGCGGGGTGAGGTGGGCAGCCCTGCGCAGGGCCTGGATCGTGTAGCTGGACAGCAGGAAGCCACCGCCACTGCAGTACACCGGGTAGGCCGGCCCGGAGAAGAGCTGCGGGGGCACGAAGTACTTGCTCCCGCTCTCGCGGATGGGCACGGAGCCAGACATGAGCTGTCCGGTGAAGAGGTGGCGGTCGGGCCGCTGCGCCTCCAGGAAGCCAACCACGTTGGCGGTGTGCACGAAGACGTCGTCGTCGCCACTGAGCAGGAAGAGCGCGTGCGGGCAGCGCGCCTCCAGCCAGTTGAGCAGGTGCACGTGCTTGAGCGTGAGGTTGAGGAAGGTGTCAGCGAAGGCCCACTGCAGCACGTCGCCATGCTCGCGCGCCTCCAGCCCCACCAGCGCGGCCAGCTGCTCGGCGCGCTCGGCGTCCTCGGGCGCGGCGGAGCCCAGCAGGAAGAGGCGGCGCACCGGCCGCCCGCTGTAGCTGCGCTCCTGACCCCACGTGCGGCGGATGAGCTCGCGCCGCTCGTAGTTCGCGGGCGACGACTTCACCGCCAGCAGCAGGAAGACCCCGCGGCGGCCGGAGCACTTGGCCGGCGCGTCCCAGAGCAGCGGGAAGTGGCGGCAGTGGCGGTACCGCAGGAAGTCCTGGATGCGCGCGGGCAGCCGCGCGAAGTCGGCCGTGGACTTCGCCGAGGCGTTGGCCACACACGGCTGCTCTGGGCTGAGCGCCGACTGCTGCGCGGCAGTGAGGGCAGCCTGGGTGGTACCATCCCACCTCTTCTGCTGGGACCTGGGGGCTTGGGGCAACCACAGACGCAGGACCAAGAAGCTCATCCCGACCAGAAGGCAGGTCAGAGTCTTGGGATTCCTGGACCTGCGGCAGGGGAAACTCATCTGTGGGGGAAACCGAGTCAGCGGTGAGCCAGGGGCCGTCTTTGACACCAGGGGAATGACACCCTTCCTCCACCACGTGTCCCCGGAGCCCAGAGCCAGTCCCTGCTCAGCTCTGCTGTCAGGTGCAAAAGGAAACCAGAAATGAAGATTACACTGCAGCCTCTCTCGTTTCCCACAGTGTGGCGTGTTCTGACCTGCAGCTTCGTGCATCTCACTGCCTCCTGACATCCCTCCCGGATGTCACCTAGGCCCCACAGAGGCATTGTGTCAAAGTCTCCATCTTCCTGTGAATCTATATCCAGCTTTTCCCCACCTCTGTAAATGGTACCACAGTCCACCCAGTTGCTCCAACCAGAAGCCCTGAACTCTCCCCCACCCTCAACTTAAATGTACTCTCCACATCCTGTTGATTTCATATTCGAATTTCTCCTGCTAATCCCACCTCTCCATCCCTTTGAGCCTGACCCTCTTTGACGTATTTCCCTCCTTGCTACCCAAGTCAAGGAAGCACAAGGTGATAGTACTGGACTCAGACCCAGGTCAGATCTGTGGGGTCACCACTTACATGTATCATCTTGAACAAATCATATCGAATCTCAAGGGCTGAGCGGTCTCCCCTGGAACAGAGTTAGTGCATTGCAGGGCTGTTGAGGCCATAACACGAGCACTGAATGGCACCGATACTACAACCTCTTTGGCATTTGCTGGCCCCACCTCCTTTTATTTCTACCTGCTGAAATTATTTTTTGTTCTCCAAACATGCCAGGTCAGGCCATCTCCTCCGTGTATTTAAATCGCCCTACCTGCCCAGGTGCACTCCAAGCTGTGCCTTCACGAAGAGCCCCCGGGGACAAATCCCAGGTCACAAGCCTTTCCTGTCTTACACCCTGCTGAGTTCAGTCACATTGGGTCCTGCCCTTCATGAAACACACTCCTATGTTTCAGAGATGCCACTCCCTAGTGGCTTTCTTCTTACCTCTTTAAAAATCTTTATGATTATCAGAGGTGCCAATAAATATTTGTTGAATGAATATTTTGTCCAGAGTATGTGCTTGATAAATATTTTCAGATTCAGTTGTTTGTACATAGTAGGTGTTAACTGGATTGAGTTGTGCTCTAGTGCTTGTGTATACACAATGTCTAGCACAAAACCAGTGTCCAATGAAATAATGGTGACAGCTAACTGCAGATAAGAGTTGGAGAACCTGGCAAAAAGTGGTGGTGTGATCACGGAGTCCCATTAGAAATATTAGATGTAGATTCCTATAGCTCTTTGTGTATTCCTGCTTCAGTGTTTGAGTACATAGAAATGAGAGACAGTGAGACGGATTATGTCAATTTTATAATGACTAAATGCTCAGTGCCAATCCTGTGCCTGGCACATTTGGGCCATGCAATACATTTTTTTCCCAGTGAATGAAAGAATAAGTTACAATAGAATTTCGAATCTAAATAACTGGGCATGAGTCCAACTTCTTTCATTAGCTGTGTGACTTCATATAAATTTGTTAATCTCCTAAATTTTAGATTTGTCATCTGAAAATCTGAGAAAGTTTACCCTCCTCATCTCAATGAAATAAAAGAGCAAGAAAATAATTTTGTCAGGGCTAAAACACCATACAAATACTAGTTAAAAAATAACTTAAAAACATTCTCTCTCTCTTCTCCCCACCCAGAATAACATCTAGAAAGAAAAGTAATCTCAGTCTGCATGCAACAATAAGTTTTATCTCAATAAAATCCCCATTTACTCTGAGAAACCTGATTGAGGAACCTGGACCACAGCCATCTTCTGATATAAAAATGAGGGAAAGGGTTGGACCAGTTCCTTTTCCTGGGGGTGGCACCGGTTTGCCAAACTCCACTCCTGGATGTTGATACTTAGGGGTGTCCTTTTTGTGGTTCTTTTTGCAGGTTCCACCTTCTTACAGAAGCACCTTACACTTTCATGGCCTCTGCCAGTCCTGATCCCTGTCCCTCAAGATGCAACTCAGGTACCATCTCCTGCAGGTAAGACCAGCTCATTGGAACCTGTGTCCTTGTTGATACCATGGCTGCTGAGTAGCAAAGTTGGAAAGAGGACAGACCTGCAATTTATGCAATCCTTTTTAACTGTCCTCATTTGCCGGGCCTTGGGTGAGTTCTTTATCTCAGTGCCTTGTAGGATGATATGAGTTGATTATTGTAATAGGCACTCAGGACCATGCACAGAAACATGTGTTGGCTAACAGAGAAATGTCTATGGTGCAAGGCAGGTCATCATTTTATGTATTAAGCCCAGCCTTCTCATGCGGGATTATGTTAAGTTTCTTTGACTCTCTCAATGCACCCCATTCTCACTCCGTTTATTGCCCTACTTGCTTGTTTGCCTTTGTAGTGCTGTTCACTCCGCCTGGGATTCTCTTCCTTATATGCCCAAGAACAGGAAAAGTTCCTATTTTTTATTTCCTCCTTTGATGCCCAGAGGTGGATGAGGATGACTGGAACACAGATTTCTGGGTCATCCACCAGTCCCCTACCATCCCAAAGTAGACCTGGGGAATACATGCATGTATGGCAGGCAAACAAACCTTTTATAATACTTTGGCCCCAATGGCCAACATGGAGCAATAACCTGGAGGCTTTGACCTGGTTCCTTTCCCATTGGCCTCCCCCTGGTTCTTGCTTGGTCCTCTAAAGAGAGCAGAACGGAGTGGGGGAGAAAACGCACCTCTCTGCCAATGGGAAGAAGCCCAAGCCCCCATCTTACCTTGAGTGTCTGAGAGAGAAGGTATAGATCGGAGCCATCCCCAGACTGGGACCTAACTTTAACCTTGTCTTTCACATGGGGAGGCCCCACCCCCAGGACTGTGGCTTAAATCAATATCCTTGAATCTGACCAACCCATGCATCCGTCCTCCTCCTCAGAGGGAGGGTGGAGGGCACGGAGACAGCTACACACCTCCTTCCAGCATTGCTTGCTCGCTTACCCTTCATGGTGAGGCTAAATGCCATCTCATCCAGGAGAGTTTTCTTGACTCCTCCACCCACCAACTACCTCATACTCTCCCAGAAATATACTTGAATAAAACACTTATGTTTTTCTTTTTAAAAAATTGGAGTATAGTTGGTATACAATATAATTAGGTTCAGCATACAACATAGCATTTTGAGGATTCTACACATTATGAAATGATCACTACATTAAGTGTAATTCCCATCTGTCACCATACAAAGTTAGTACAAGTTATTGGCTATATTCCCTATGCTGCACTTTTCATCCCTGTGACTTATTTTATAATTCGACGTTTATATCTTTGTATCCCTTTCACCTGTTTCACCTATCCTCCTACCCCTCCCTCATGGCAACAACCAGTTTGTTTTCTGTATAAATCTACTTCCATTTTGTTTCATTTTTTAGACTCCACATGTAAGTGAAATCATATGGTATTTGTCTTTCTCTGAGTTATTTAGTATAATACCTTCTAGGTCCGTCCATGTTGCCACAGATGGCAGGATTTCTTTCTTTTATGGCTGAATAATGTTCCATTGTGTATAGGTACCACATCTTCCTTAGTCATTCATCATCTGTCCATGGACACTGAGGTTGCTTCTGTATCTTGGATATTGTAAACAATGCTGCAGTAAATATAGGAGTGCATATATCTTTCCAAATTAGTGTTTTTGTTTTCTTTGAGTAAATACCCGGAGGTGAAATTACTGGGTCGAATGGTATTTCTATTTTTAATTTTTGAAGACATTCCATAGTGTTCTGTTCTCCATAGTGACTGCACTGATTTACATTCCCAACAACAGTGTACAAGGGGTCCCTTTTCCCCACAAAGTCATCAGCACTTGCTCTTTTTTGTCTTTTTGATACTAGCCATTCTGACTGGTGTGAGGTGATATCTCACTGTGGTTTAGATTTGCATTTCCCTGATGATTAGTGATGTGGAGCATCTTTTCATGGGCCTGTTGGCCATGTGTAAGTCTTTTTTGGAAAATGTCTATATAGGTTCTCTGCCCATTTTTTAATCATATTTTTTTTTGTATGAGTTCTTTGTACATTTTGGGTAGTAACCCCTTGTTGGATGTATCATTTGCAAACATATTCTCCCATATATTAAGTTGTCTTTTCATTTTGTTGATAGTTTCCTTTGCTGTGTAGAAGCTTTTTAGTTTGATGTAGTCCCACTTGTTTATTTTTGCTTTTGTTTCCCTTGCCTGGGGAGACATTGACTGAAACACTTTATCCTGTATTGTAATGATGTTTTTCCTGCTAGACTGAGAGAAATTCCAGGGCCTGGGACCTGTTCTGTTAACATAGGACATGCTTTAAAATCTTTGTTGAGTAAGTTGCATGAAAATGTCCATATAGATGTACTTTCTAAACACATTAATGACATCTGAGTATACTGAGTTTTATAAATGATCAAGGGTTTCATCCTATTATCACTGTGAGTTGTTGGGAGAGAGATGAATCAGACTCAGCTGTGCTCCTCAAGAGCTCACTGTATCTTGGGAGAGCCAGATGCTAAATAATTATGAAGTGATGTGACACACAAACACAAACCGTAGAGAGGGAACTTGGAAAAGGGAACCTGAGTGAGGCAGGGAAACTTCACATTAGAACCAGATTGTATTAGTTATCTATTGCTGTGTAACAAGCCACCCCAAAAGTTAATGGTTTAACAGAATTTATTATTTCTCAAGCTTCTGTGGTTGCCTGGGAAATTCTCGTGCTGGACCCACATGGACTCTTTCATGTGGCTGTTTTCAGCTACTGTGTAAGCTGGGAAATGGGCTGAACTGGGACGCTGTCCTGTGCCCTTTCATCCTGGCTGCCTCCTGGATGGTGGTCTCAGGGTTCCAAGATGGTGAAGGTGGAGGTTACAAGACCTCTTGAGGCCTGGACTGTAGAACTTGCATCATGTCACTTCCACCACATTCTGTTCATCAAAGCAACTCACAAGACCAGCCCAGAGACAAGGGGAGAAGAGGAGTTCCAAGAACTGCAGCCATATTTAACCTACCACATGGATTTTTAGGGGGAAAGGAAGTTTCCCAGCAGGCAAGGAGCATTGTAAAGAGGGAAGGGCACTCCGGGTAGAGGTACAGAGCAGGCAATTAACAGGACATGTCTGGGAAACATTTCAAGTTTAATACGGTTTTCTTTTAATATGGTTAAAACCATATTAAATTATAATTATAAAAGATCTAATAATTAACTACAAATATGAATATTGGCAGTTGAAGGGACAGAGACAGATTAGAGGTTCCCTGAGAAAGGTCTCGAATGCCATGCCCTTTAAAGTTTTGACAAGTCCTTGGTCTTTTGAAAGATTTGACAAGTCCATGCCTCTTGTCAGGAGTCCAATACAGCAGCCTGTATGGTGGTGTGGATGCTGGAGAGGGCAAGACTGGGGGCAGGGACCCAGGGATAGGGGTACAGTGACCCACCGGGGAGAGGGCAGGCCCAGGCCTCAAGTGGGCAGGGGTGTCCTCAGAGCTTGGTGACTTCCTGGATATTGT